TTTCTGTTTCTAGACGTCTGGCATTTGCTGCATAAAAGCTGGCCTACTCTGAAGAAAGTTGTGGGAAGAGAAGAAAGATGGACCAAAGGATAACAACAAGGTAAATAATACATAAAGGGTGACTTATGTTTGGGTAATGATTGGTATCAAAGGAAGCATTAAAAAAAAACCCAAGAACCTATTTAAATATAGGACATCTCAGTTTTCTCAGTAGTATTTGGCAAATATGCATATATTTTTCATTAAAACTAATGTGAGTTACATGCATGCCTGGAGGAGAATATTTAACTTAAGGAAGACAGGCAGACCGGCAAGACTGCAGCACAGCTGCTGAAGTTTACTGCAGGAGGCAAAATTGATTTCATGAAAAGCCTAATGAATCCAGCAACACTTTGCTCAGAGACTATAATATCCCCAGAGAGGGGGGTAAGGAGTCCCCAGGCAGACGGGTGTAGCACTCAGTGACTTTGGCATGGCATTGGAACAGGTAACTAGGCCAGAAGAGTTATAAAATATTGACTGAGCAGCTAGTAAATTTGGGTGTACAGGCTCTTAGGCTGCCAGCTGCCCAAGATGCTCCAGACAGCACACCTTAAGTACTAGGTATGCCACTCCAATTACTCAGCGAACAATGAGTAGAACCTTCTAGATAGGCATTAAAAATGCCCTTGAGCAGAATTGCTTCATTCTGAATGAGCCACAAATGTGGGTGGGCTCCTCCTCCCAGTGAACCCTGCTGATAACAGATAAAAAAACAATTTTGAGAATGGCTGTTTCCGTGAAGTTCTGTGCCTACCACTGGGGGTGGGGGGAGGCGCTGTGGAGGCCTAAGCAATGAAGCACATTTCTCGGGCAGTTGTGGGCTGCACAAAAGGGCTATTAAAGATGTGAGTTCAGGAGGTCTCCTGGACCATGGAAGCCTGAAGGTTCTGCACGCTGTAAACCAGTTATTTTCACACCTTGTTCCTGGAAGTCTTCCATTAGAAGAGAAACAGTGGATGACAAGCTTTTCTTGAAAGGCAGCTTTCACACTGCTATCAATCTTCCTCTGCAATAGTGAGCAGCAGGAGAGAGCCAAGTATATTCTAGGGTGCACACACATTTCACAGTAGGACCTAACAGGCCATTTGCCAAGGGTATACTCTGCAATGGGCTGCATTCAATGGCAGATGTTTGGGGCATGATCCATCCATTTGCGTATCCTCAGATATTTTCTACAGCTTGGACCACTTGGTTGGCTTTTAGCCTCCTAGGCCATCCTACCACAACACTCCCACATCTAGGCTCTACAGTTTCTGGACTACAAATCCTACCAGCCACAGTCACAGTTGCTGTGCAGCACATCTGAAGGGCACTGATTTGGGGAAGGCTGTCCTAAAGGTTGGTGTAGATTGCATTTTTTAAAAAATAAAGCATATCCACATAAAAATTGGACTGAACAAAAGATATCAGTCCATTAAAAGCTTAACCCTGGCCAAGCAACATTTTGCATCAGACCAGAATGATCAACACAAGACCTTTGGTAGATCACAGTAATTAGAAGTTTGATCTTCTAACCTATGTAACCTGGAAGCAGAAATGATGAAACTGAAGCTGCTGTACTTCAGGCATGTCATGAGAAGGCAAGACTCAGTAGAGAAGACACTCATGCTAGGGCAAAGTTGAAGGCAGAAGAGAAAGACCAACTATGTGATGGATAAGTTCCACAAGGAAGTCACAGGCTTGGGTTAAGATGAGCTGGGCAGGGTTCTCAGGGAGAGGTCATACTGAACAGCATTCATTCATAGTTGACATAAGTCAGAGATGACTTGGTGGCATGCAGTGACAACAGAACTATGCAACAAGGGATGGGGTCATGAAGCAGGAATTTCACAAATAATGTGGAATGCTGCCCTCGTAATATCCTTAAGATGTTACTAAGAAAACTGTGCTCTTTCTACAGGGTTCATAAGGAACTTTGACAAGAGTGCAAATGCACGTTAGTTATCTTTTTGTCTCCATGATAAAAGGTTATCAAGGAAGTTTAAAAAGTACACAGAAAATGTGTTGACTCCTCAACTAATACTTTGGTGACACACCAAAGTGATATGCTAAAACAGAAACATTTAACAGAATATTCTCTGTAGAACATATAAAAAGTTGCAAAAAATATCTTTCCATTGCACCTCACAGAGTTTTAAAACCCTTTTAAAACTTACACATGAAAAGCTTTCCTGGTGATCTAGAAGACTAACATTTCATACTGATCGTTCTTTTTTAAATGTTAAAGAAGGGAGGTATCAGTTGAAAAGCGTCTTTCAGTTAAGAGCTTGTACTGAAAGAGAGGAATGACATAAAACTCATTGATGATCCAACAATCTTTGCATCATACACGTCTTCCTATTTCAGAGTTAGGTTCTAGAAATATATTTCTACCATACTGCCAGTGTTCAGGTCCTCATGGATTCCGCAGTCTAACAAAACTCAGTTAACTCAAGTCTGATCAAGGGAGTGATGACAGGTATCATATGTCATATCCTATTTCAACACAGGACATCTGTTTCTAGGCCATGGTCATTCCTCTGGGCAATTCTTGCTGTAGCATCCATTCCCCTTTAAGTAGAATCTCTTCGAGACTGGGCAAAAAATTGTGTTCAAATAAAGTTTAATCCTCTCCTCTGACTGCCTAGTATAAAGGCTTAGGGCAACCTTCTCCAAACTGGTGCCTTCCAGATGTGTTGGACTACACCTCCCAGAATCCTGAAGCAATGAACACTTGAATTTAAATATATAAATATCGTTTTTTCTCAAAATATGCATCTGTAGACAGTTTCTCTGTAAAACTGCACTTCATTAAAACTGTTGATGAGTTTGAGGCAAAAAGGAACATTCACAACATTTGGCAAAGAGAAAAGAAGGGGAAAGTGAACATGCATGGGAATTCGTGAGGTCCCTGTCAGATTCACTGGTGCCAGAATGCACAGATAATCTAATTGCTCAAGCATTCCTAGGCTCTGTTCATGAAACTCTACAGGGTTCCCTGAAGGAACTGGGAAGACTTGAAAACTATTTATAAAAAATCCCCTGATCAGTTGTGTTCTCAGATGTCAGATTTTCCAAGTTACTACTCTGTTTCTGAACCTCTGGATCATCTCAGAGGGAATGACTGCTACTGTACCCAGATATTAGTCCCTAACAGGTGAGACTTCCAGACTTGGGTTTCCACTGTTCGATTTCTTGCAGTTTGGTCTCCTGGTGGCAGATGCAAAAGATACCAGAGGGAGCAGAAGTTCCAGGATCTACCATGCTGCTCTTCTGCATGTGTCCCCTCTGATTCAGAAACTCTGGGCCACAGCAGGTCTTTGAGGCAAATGACCATGGCTTGAAAATACCACAACCACCAGATGTTGGTTTCTTAGAAATGAGGTTTTTTTAAAAAAGTTCCAGGCTGCTGCCTCTTACAAGTATACAAACAGTGATCAGTCGATGAATTCAGCATTACAGTGTTAACTGCTGCTTCTTTGGAAGTACCCGAATAGCTCATGTGCAGCTGTACATGGGGGGCCATGAATGGCATCAATGAAAATAAAACTGTCAGATTCCCTTTAGGAAGCAAGGACATTATGGAGCAAACAAACATGACAGACCAAAGAAAAAGGAAAGGAAAGGAAAGGAAAGGAAAAAATAAAAAAAGGAAAAGGGGGAAAGGGGAAATCCTTACTTTTAAATCAAAAGCTGTTTCTTTGAATATTTTAAAATTATAAAACATTCTTGATAAGATTCTGTGCCTATTCCCATGGATGATGATGGGGGAGACAAAGGAAAAAACTGACTGAAAACCAAAGTCACTTGTCAAGCAGGAAATTCAGAGGACCTGGATCTGCACATGGGGTTCCAATGAGGTGTGGCAGGCATGGGTCATGGAACACAAATGCGAGTAAAGTCCCCTCTCTTTTCAAAGAACTCTGTGTGCAGGTCTCAGGCCTGGTGTTAGGGTCAACGTTCTGAAAATTATAATCTATTTGTTACTGATTTGGGGCATTTCCATGATCAAACACAAATGAGGTGGGATTTTTTGTCGTTTTAGAACACAACTTGAGAGCTCTTGGTCAGAGAAGTGGGACAGAGGTACAGTGGTGTTTAATCCATAGCCCTGCACAACACTGCCCTGATCTAAACAGCATCCTAATGATGCTATTAGGCCTGCAGGGCATTTGCATTTCTGCTTTTGCCCTCTGGTACTACAGAAGCTTTGCGAGCCTGCATGTGTTTGAGTGAAATGTTGTAGGGGAAACAGTTCGGCTCCGCTTCCCAGGGAGCCACTGCTCTGATAAAATGTGATGTCTCCTCCCTCTCCTTAAGGTTAAAACATGCAGTGGAAGATTCAGTTACAGATCTTCATTTCAGTGTGCTTCGGTACTCAGTTGCACAAAACTGCAGCTTGTTTTAAAGTGTATGGATTTTTCAATCACACGGTGTTGCAGGAATCATTTGCTAGACGAATGGATCCATTGCCATTTGGAATCTACAGTACAGTACAGTTGCTCAAGTGTCATGGGCGTTTGGTGGATGGTGCTCATGGCATCTCTGATAAGAAGCAGCAATTATATTCTATGTCCAGCCCACAACTTGGTTTGTGAAGGGAGCCCTGGCTTTAAATCCTAGCAGGACGTCTTTAGCCGTGAAAAATAAAAATGATTTCTTCACCATTTGCCTCGATGCCAGCTGGGTCCCTCTCCTCTGCAAGATCTTTCTTTGCAGATCAGGCACTTGCTCATTTTCTTACATGTTTCATCACACCGGAAAAGGTTTACATGTGGGATCTTGAGCACTCTACTACTATTGAGGGCCTGCAGACCTGTCCCAGGAAGGCTCAAAAGCAGTCATGACATTTCTGCAGCAAACATCCAAATAAGCTTGGCATACACCAACACCTTCATGAATTCATGGCACAACAAACTGAGATCCGGTAGCTGGCTGGAAAAAAAGCTACTTGAATAGTTACCTGCATTATTCCAAACTTACCTGTATGGATAGCCATGGTACTTGGAGCGGAATATTGACAGCAGGAAGCTGAAGAAGAAAACGACGAGACCCAATCCTACCAGGCATATTACTGGAAAAAATACCAACATTGAAGAATCACTGAAAAAACCCCTATGTTAAATACAGCAGTAGGTGCAAATCAATTTACAAATATATTTTGAAATTAATCAGTTGTCTCTAGCTGCCCTTCATTTGGGGTAGGATTATAAAATTTTAAAGAAAAATACATATCCAGCAGATTACTGTTTTTGGTTGTCATAAATGCCAATAAAATGGCGGTTTAAAAGGAGGAGGAAAAGAAAGAGAAGGTAGAAATACAGAAAAATGTTGAGATAGTGAGATTTTACTAAAGAAAGGGATGAACTTGGAATTGTACATTCCAGGCAATATTATTTCAGGTTCGTGGCAGACTGTGTGGCAGAAAAAACTATTTCTTAATTGCCCATTGCCACAAGTTGTCAAATTCACAGCATCTTGGTCCCATCCCATGCATTTTAAAACACAGATGTGGTTGACTCAGCCCGTTCTTATGCAACTGAGAGATAAACTAGATGAGACAGCGTTTGTGCAGAGAGAAATTCTGTGAATGTCTTTTAAAAAGAATAATTGCAGGTGCAAGTTCCTCAAATGGATTGGATGTAGGAAGCGGGGGACTTGAATCATTTGCCTTCCCAGCAATCCCAAACTAGATTGATTGATTGGTTGTATTTGCATGTCACCACATAGCCTGGGGGCTCATAGGAAAATGGATCTTTGGAGTCTTTGTGCCTGCTACTTCCTCCAGGAAAGAGCTCTAGTAAGACTTTTCACCAATGCAAATACAGGTATGCATTCAGGTTCAATGTCAGAAATGCAGTGGGCTTTACTTTTTCAGTCAGAATCTGATCAGAAGTAGTCAGGATAGCTAGTCTGTGGAATGTCAAGACCAGTGTGAGATAATCTCTGCCAGTGTTCACAGGGGAAAAGAGGAAGGAGGTGTGCCATCTCCTTCGTCCAGATGCAACTTCAACTTTGCAACGTCAACCTTCTCAGGCTACTGAGCAGGAGTAAGGGGAGTTGCACAGGTGTCACTCCTGACACTGCAACCCTGAAAGGCAGAATGGGAAGATCCAGGCTAGGTAGGCAGCTTGTGGTGGGCTACATCTGCTGTCATTTTGTTAATTGGTAGATGGTTTTTGTAGTTGCACTTCATCTTAAAAGCTTTGCCATGGGGACACTGCTAGGAAAATCTCATATCCCCTTCTAGATTTTTGTTTTTTGGATCTATCACCCTTTTATAGAGCACTCTGCATATGATTGCTACATAGTTTGGCCTTTTATGAAAAGGACTGTCATATTTTTTCTTGAATGCTCTTGAATTATGAATTATGAGTCTTCATTAAGTCACCTGAAGCCCAGCTGGCTTGGAGCAAATTCCTGACTTGTAGACTTTCCTTATGCATGTTTCCATAAGTCATAGAGATTTCATAACTGAGAGTTTGGGATGCTGAAATCTCTGAATGTGGAGAATTACTTTGGACTCAATTCTGATAATGCTCTAGAGACTTAAGAAGCCTGGACTCACAGTACTCAGTGGTCCCAACTCTACTACTTTTGCTCCATCAATAATGTATAAATGATTGGCTAAATTAATCTCTTTCCTGCTTCTGAGAAGTTGCCACCAGTTATCTTTAGTTTTGTGCTGCTTCACTGCTAGTCCTTGGACTGATATCACGATCTGAGTCTTTAGTTTTAAAGCTGTCCATCCCCCTGGCTCTTTGCTTAATGAATGAGTAAAGGCAGGGATGGGGAACATGTGGCCTTCCTTATTAGACCGCAACCCTAGGATGAGGCCAAGGATGAGGCCTGACAACTGTTGCAGTTTAACATCTAAAGTACCACATGCTCCCCATCTCTGACTTAAAGGAATGATTTGGGTACCATCTGTGAGTGAAGCACATTCCACAGTACTGGTTTACTTAATACAATAATGAAAATGCCGTTTTAGGTACAGAGCCAATGTTGTCAACATCCTCCTTGGATAGAGAAGATTGACTTGCCTCTATGTGTTTGTTTCCCTGATGGCAAAATATGTTTCTTTATTAAGCACTTCCATAAGGAAATGGATTTTGTAGGTTGAGTTGGAACTTTGTATTGCTTGGAGAAGAAAGGAAAAAGTGGGAACTAGTGGAAGTCAAAAGCCTATTCAAAATGTAGTGCATATCTGATATTGGTAAAGCTTAAGAAGATAAAAGAGAAGGGTATAGCCCAAATGGTCAACCCTACTTAGCTTTTCCATTTGAATATGAGAAGGATATTTTTGTAGAGGGTTTTTTTTTTGGGGGGGAGCACTAATCACAAATTGGTATGGGGGACAGTAATGGCCTTTCTTATCTTATCTTCCTTTTACCACCACTGTAGGCAACCACAATTCCCCCCTCACAAAGACTCCTTGGATGAGTGTTCCATCATGAGACAGAATTGTTCTCGGGGCATTGTGGGGAAGAAGTGGGAGTTGCCAGTGGGGACTACATAATGTTCCTTGCAATGATGCTATGTCATGACTGAAGGTCATTCTGAAGGAGCACTTTAGGAGAAAATGGCAGTTGTCAGAGTTGGCCACTGAGAGAATTCTGACACTGTCACCTGCAATGGAGGCAAAACAAAGAAAAAGGAAATGTAAAAGCCAGTGTTACCAAGCAAGCCCTGCAACCTTCAAAAAAGCCATGTATTTCAAATCAAACATTCTCAATTCAGTACTTTTGACATTCTCAATTCAGTACTTTTGACTGAAATGTAAACATAAGCTCGGGACAACATAATCAAGGCTATCTGTTTATGTATTACTGAATTGCTACTAACAACAGCAGCTACATAAACAAAAATGGACAAAATCAAAAGTACTGCACAGCTGGGTGGAAGGGCCCAGGGAGGTTCTTTAAAAAAAGTCCTTCACATTGCATGGCAAGTTGCCTTGGAAATGGAAAGAACACAGCTCGAGCAGTTCTTCAGCTCCCAAGCCTGTGGCGTTATATCCTCAATACATGCAAATATGTTTGCAAATGAGTAAACACATTTTCAATTGCTGAGAAAAATATGAATCGGCAAGCTTTCATGCAGATCTACAGTAGACACACATACATTTAAATGCCAAGAGCACGACTATGGCAACTCAGCCTACCAAATTAAGCAACTTACTCCTTCTTTTTCCAACATCTCCTTTGGAGGTAGCAGCTTCATTCAAAAGAACCATTCCCATGGTGATAGCCGCATCTACATTATTGTTGTCAAGGAAACAATAGAAATGTGGAAGTCTCACAAAGCAAAGCAGAGCATCTGTAAACTTAGAATGTTATGAGCTTAAAGGTATTGATGGATTGTAAATGTTTACAGATTGTAAATGTATGCAGATCATTAATCCAGGGGATTCCGATGCATAATCTACATTTTGTTTGTTACTTACCTCTTTGCTACTTTTAGTTTTCAGTACATCAACCAAACAGAACAGCAATGCGTTTAAGGATTCAATGTGCACAAACGTTTTGCTAAATTAGGTAAGTATAGCAAAGCTCTCAAACCTACGAGATGCCTGAAAACTCATGTACCGATTCTGGTAGTACAAACTGAATGTTGCCAGGAGACAGATACAGGGTGCATAAAAATAATTACATTAATTCTCTGATTAACTGATGCATACTAAACCATTTAGATAGGCCACAGTATGCTGTTTCTCAACCAAGGTTTCCAAGATGGATAGTATCTGTCTAACATGTCACAAGAATGGAGTAAAATCACTGCAGCGGCAAGTGTTTTCAGTCACTAGCCATTTTTAGAGTCTTAATTGCTAGCTTTTACAAATGCAAACAGGCACATAATGATAAAATAATTTAAACTAATTTGCCAGGATCCTAGGCTATTCACATAATTGTTTGAAAATGTATCCACGAAAAGCAACTGTTACTACTGTAATTAACATCTGTTCCAAGCAGTCAGCATACAACAATGCAAATGAGAATGATGTATCATGATAACTTTCTCTATTTCTGGAGTCTACCATTCTCTAATCTAGTCTTAAGAAAGAAGCTTGTTTGGTATCTACAGTAACTAAATATAGACCAACTGCTGGCCATTATCCTTGCTGTAAACACCTTCCATTAACTAATGTCTGACTTTAGCAGATTCATCTTTCTGTAAGATAGCAGTGTTTAAGAGCATGAGACATGAGTTAAGCATCACTGAAAAAAAATTCTCAAAGTTACTGTCTAATTTTGTATGTGCTTATTCAGAAGAAAGTCCTTCCCATTTCAGTGAACCTTATTCTCAGCTATCAGGATTACAAGATGAATATATTTATGACTGGTTATGAAGAGTTGGAAAAATGGGAATGCAAGGAGAAAGCAAGTTATACTTGCTCTTTGTTAAGTTGGAGCTCTCTTTTCTCCTTTCTGCATGGATGTTTTAAGTGTGTTAAAAAAATGAGGAGGAGCAAGAGATTTAGGCAGTGGCTATAGTTCAGTGGCAGAGTACATCTTTTGGATGCACAAAGGCTCAGGTTCCAGGTAGCGCTGGGAAAGATTCTTGCCTGAAGCCATGGGCAATTGCTTTCAGTCATGGTCTACAATAGTGGTCTTGATGAACTGATGGCCAAACTTTTAGTATAAGGCAGCATATACTTCTGCATATGAAGGATGCAAAAAGAAGCCCTGTCAATTTTAGCAAGAGAAAGTTAAGGCACTTATTTAATCTTCTTCTGTTACGATGAGTTTTTTTTTTTAAGAACTTTATCATTGGATGAGGCCCAAACTTCACAAAGAGCTATCTCCACCTTCCTAACCTTACAACATTAAATAATTTGGGGTTCCTCTGAGAGGCTGACACTGTTCAAGTGAAGTACAGGTGTTCTTGTAGCATGGTCCAATATTTCATTTTTGGGAAACATCTGAAATCGCACTCATGACTTAAAGCAAAGGCTGTCAATGCCACATTTTAATCAGATGATGATGATGTTTTTCTTAAACCTTTTAGTTTTCTTAAACTTTGGCTCATTCCTTTTACTTTGTTGACTGGCGGGGAACATTAAAAATGTAACTGTGTGACATTCAGAACTCATGATAAGGGCAACAAGTAAGGGTAACAAGTAAGGTCAGGTAGGCAACAGCATATTTACTACCTAGGAAGGCTCACAGGAAAATTCAAGCTTCATGAGTTTATGTGAACTTAAACGGTGAACCTCTCCATTTTTTCACCTAATTAAATAAAATTCACAGTACGATCCTTTACAAGCCTGCTCAAAAGGAAGCTTCACTGAGGTCAATGGTGTTAACAGGTAAAGCATACCGGGTTGCACTTTGTTTATTAACATGTATGTGACTTAGTCAGTTACTCCAATAAGCATAAATTTACTATGAGCAAAAACCTTAACAGATTTTATAAAGCACAACTGTGCTTTCTTTTAAGAAAGAAAAGGCATCCCCTTTTTTTCTCACATGAGAGACTATTTATCTTCTAAGGAGGTACTTGCCCTCTGAACACGTTAAAGTATTTGTATCTATAGATAGATAGATAGATTGTATCTATAATTGGGAATACCTGTTTTGGAAATCAGAATCTTTGTAAATCAATGAACTATGCCACAGTAGGCCATGTGGTTCCTGGGGCACCAATGTACCACTAGGTACATGTAATGCCTCCGATATTTATTTTGAAATATATTTTTATTTTGTTACTGGCAGCTAAAATTATTTCAAAGTGAAGCTGGAGCCTCAGGTCCCTGCCATCTCACCTCCCAATAAATATCCCTTGGTTGCTGACTTGCCCTTTGTGGCTAGCCAAAGGACTCCCTGCCCTGATCTGTTATAGGCCTGCTGCTGTTTTATATAGATTCTCTCTCTCTCTCTCTGTGAGAAAGAGAGAGTGAGAGGGAGGGAGCAACACTCTCAGCTTTCTAGCTATTTTATCCAGGGATGCATGCCTGAAGGGCAGATCTGGAACATGAATGGTTACCAACTGTGGTCTTGTTAGAAGGAATGCAACACAGTTATGTTTTCAGTCTTTAATAAAGCTCTTGAAGAAGCCATGCTGTGCTGTGTCGAGATAAGCTTTCTCAGCCCATATTTTTCCCCATTAATTAAATCTTTTTTTGTTTGCTTACTTGTTTGTTCTAAGAAAGCCCTCCTTCAGGTGGACAGAAATGACTAATAACATTTGGGTTCCTGAGAAAGAGAATCCAGCTGAGGTCTCCTCACCTCCTGTTGTATAAGCTACACTAAACTAAATCATAAACACTGTGATGCACTTTAATGAAATGAACAAGTTTCCCCTTCCATCCATCCCTTGATTGCTCTCTGGATTCTACTCCTCCTGAACTTTAGCATAGCTAGAAGAATTTCTGCAATTAATTCTGGAATCAGGACTATGTGACGTTTGCTGCAGCTTGCAGTTCCTGGAGATTTTTTTGTCTTTTGAATTTCCAATGTGCCTTTGAACATCAATAAAAGACTGCCAAAAAGGAAAATAAACTTTGATGTAAACAAAACAAAACAAAAAACTTGAATAATGCTTGTGTGTTTTTATGCATATTTCATGTTCTTAATGTAAAGGACTTTCTGAAATCTGCAACAAACTGCAAGGATACAATGGGTACCAAATCTGGGAATTAAATTAATACAGCACATTGTCAGTCCCCATTTGAAGAAACCACCAGATAATTTGTAATTCTAAACATTTGGGAATTATTATGGATGAAACTTTTCAAAGCATCCTCAAGTATCCACCTCAAAGGCTTCTTGTAGAAGTGACTTGTGTGATGCTGCAAGATAGCTGCCTTTATTCTAAATTTCCATTAGGAAGTAAAGGCTGGTAGTGGCTATGATCTAGGGAAGTTGATTTAAAATCACAGATACTGAGTTATTTAAATCAAAGAATAAAGAAATGACCTTCAGCAATGCAAGTGTCATTGGGACTTCTGGCCATGTAGTTAAAAAGGCAGGGAAATAAAACTGGCAGAGTTGCTCATTCATTGTATGTGAACTGGCACACACTTGGCCTCCTTGTCCTTCAGGCAACTCAGCTGGAAAATTGAAAAAGTAAAATCTCACTGAAAAACCAGATGCTACATCTGAGCTGAGATATCCCGAACAAATAAATTACAAATGTATAAATAAATAAAAGGTCATTGGCTCACTAGGAGTTAGCCAGTCACTCAAGTATCCATTTTAATTTTTAGGAGACGAGCGTTAGGCTAAATCCAAAGGTTCAACAATGAGTCCAAATCTCAACCAATAATTATATATTATTGGATTTATTCATTCACAGAGTAATAATTCATAACTTTTATCAAACCTGAGCACCATGGAAGAGGTCAGATGCATGCCCAATGAGGCAAAGCATGCTGCCAACAGATTGCCTCCATTCACTGGCTCCCGATGGTTGCATAATCCCCCTTCAGAAATGTCTGGCACCAGCTGAGGAGTAGCATCTTCCTTGGGCATGAGTGTACGGTGGCACCATTGCTGAATATCAACAGCTAGGAGCCAGCAGCAATTCACAGGCTAAGCAGCTTCAGGCTCATGCGAACATTTCTTGACTAAAAGCAAGATGAGGACAATGGCTGAAGCATGCTGTCAGTCGGGTTGATACAGGACAGCTGTGCTTTGGTTTGGACTTTCCCCATACATGAACACCACCGTCCAATACCTGCCAAAAATGGCAATGAAAACATCCTGATGGTTATGCTATTTACTATACTTTCTGATTCAACTAGCCAAGAGTAGATGGCATCTATGCAACCTGGGTTACAAAACCATTGACTCCAAGAGACTCCTTTATACATTGTGCTATGAACAAAAGGAGATAGGAGATATGCCATCCCTTACAGAGAAAGTTTATGTGAATGGAATACAGTTGAACTACAGAGAATCTGAATTCCCCCGCTACTGCATATTAGAAGTGGTCTGCGCCCCCATTTACACTATCCTAAAACTCAGACAAATTGGTAATGTTTCGATGCCAAGTGAGATACATTGCTTAGAAACAGAACAGAAACTGCCATCATGAAAGACTGCTTGAATGACCTGCTCCAAGGGAGCTCTCTCTGCATATCAGTCTTTTTTTATACAGGATGAAAATGATTCCCAAGGCAGACAAATGGTGGTGCAGCATAAACCAACAGGTGCATTTTGTCAGATGCAAGATGTGCAAAAGGGAAAAAAAGGCTAAGTCTGAGTACCATTTGGAGCATTTCAAATAACTCTTGATTACAGCATGTTTGATTC